AAAAAAAAAAAAATTCTAAAAAAAAAAAAAAGTTACTCAGAAACTCACAACAAAAGTGTATTCAAGACTGGGGAAATAGCTTGGCTGTCTAAGCGCCTGCCTGGTAAGTGCAAGGATCGGGGTTCAAACCCAGTACTGCATGCTGTGCCCACTAAAACTGGGTGTGGTGGTACATGCCTGTAATCCCAGCACCAGGGAGGCTGAGACAGGAGGATCACTACAAGTCTAAGTTGTATAGTAAGACCCTGTAACAAATAAAAAAATAAAATATTAAAAAAAAATTTAAATCTATTGAGTGATCTGACTTAGTAATTCTACTTTGATTTGAAAAATGTATGGTAAATAATCATAGGGCAAGGGGTAACACCATCTGTACGAAGACACACATGTTATTATTAATCATGAAAATAAGCAAATAGAGCAAATCAACAACAGGATAAAGATTAAGCACATTATAGCTTCAAGAAGATGGGATACTGTTGTAATCATAAGTCCAGTGCAGTCACCTTAAAACAAAAAACTAAAAAGGACTGGCAAGAAGCAGAAACAGAACTGTTAAGAACACAGTAATTAAAACTAATTCATAACACATGTACTCTTGCCAAGGACATGAGTAAAGTTTAAACCAATAAACTATTTTGGATAATTTTTTCTTTTACTCTATGAAACAAGTTTTATAGTTTTTCAGTCCAAAAAATAAGAACTGTGATATTTTCAGATAGTGCTTAGAATATTAATTTCCTATGACTAATTATTGAAGAATTTCAAATATACTAACATTGCTATCTTACAAAAGTCTCAGTAATGACAATTTCATACAATTTAACCTAACACTATTAAGAGAATACATGAAAAAGTATTTACTTAATATAGATTAATATTTTCCCTTCCTCAAAAGACTTTATTCTTACTGGGTACCGGTTACAATTTGTGTCTAGATGTCCCTCCAAAGCCTCATACAGGTTTTTTTTTTTTTTTTGTTCCAGGGATCAAACTTAGGACCTTGTGTTTGCCAGGCAGGTACTTATGCTGCTGAGCCATCTCCCCAGCCCTTTGCTGCAGTTTTACATGGGGCTTTTCCAGAGGTGGCTAGATCTGGAGTGTATGACTGATTCCTCATTCAATGCTGGGATGAAGGGTGAGTGATTGCTAGAATAGTCCACTGACTGCACTGGCACTGTCTAATCTCAGCATCATGTATCAAAAGGGCAGAAAGATGCTGTTACATCTCCTCCATGCTTTCTGTCTTCTGCTGCCAGGAACTGTTGCTGTTCTGCCATGTGCCACCTGCTTTGGAGCCAGCCCATTAGGGGCTGAAACCTCTACAAACTGTGAGCTAAACCCTTGCTCCTTTAACTCTGGGCGTCAGGTATCTTGTCTCTGCAAAAGTAACTAAGACAGTACCTTTTAAGAGGTAAGGGTAGAGAGAGCTACATGTTTTTAAAATTTTACAAGCATAAATCACAACCAAAGAATAAATAAAATGAAGCTAAACAAAAGTAACTTAGCTAAACTATATATACTGATATCTGTGAACTAAGCTACTGCACTGCAGATGGTAATTTGTAATAGTGGTTTCATATTGGGAG